TATATGTTCATAAACTGACCTTGCCGGAGGAAGTGTAATTATTATTACTGATTGCACCGGCGCGCGGCGGCGCATCGCGATGGCGCGACCTCCCCGCGCTCGGAACTGCACACGTTCTCCGCTACAACGTCAGAGATTGCATCTACGCACCCGCTATTTTTCATCTCTCTCTCTATCCCGTCTTCATCGCGTTCCATCCTCAACGTTGACTACGCCTATCGCCCGCGAGCGACGTTTTTCCGGCGAGCTTCACACATCTCTCACTTCGCCGGTGGCTATTGTTTAACTCTACGTTACCGATTTAACCGTGCTTTAAGTATGATTATTATATACGTGAGGACAAACGGGAGAATTAAGTTAACATCGGTGCGTCTGTGCGATTAAAGCTCGTTAGTAATCGCAATTAGTCTTTGAAGGCTTCTGCCTTCTCTGCGCATTCTCCGCGTCCGGCAAGGTTTTTCAAACTCTACTTTTATATGTGGATAGTGATCAACTTTGTAAAACGATAAACATCCGCAATCATAAACTTTCACAATGTGTTCTGTGAGCTAAAATAAGAAAAGTGTTATATAAATATATATGTTGTAATTTTTTTAATTAGAAACCTACTCATATAATATTTCTTCCTTCAGGGAATTCCTAGCTTAGAATATTCGAGTTTGTGACAATTTTACATGTGTCAATATTTTCCTCATTTTATTATCTGAATGGCAGCGTTAACATTCTACATATCATTCAGCACATGCTCTACAAAAACATTTCCGTTCGTCTCGTTGTTACCGCTCCAAACGTTCTCGCGTATTTTGTCACGAAAAAGCCATTGTTTCAGGAAGCATTAGGCATGGTCGTTAGATCCGAATGAGACCGGTGGTGGTCTTCGTCCGGACTCGCGGCAATCGAAAATCGGATTGTCCGATCGAGCGACGGTAGCCGGATACGCACGTGCGTACACATCCCCGGGACATGTATTGGTGTACACCGCGGTCTCTTCATCTATCCGTCCTGCGGTCGTTTCTGACGATGGTCACATCCTAATGGATCCTGTCCCAGAGGGTCGCGTGGCCGGTGACGCCGAGTGCTTCACGACATTGCGTGCGACTATTTACGAGTGACCGTTGCGCCCTGCTCTCGCACATCTCTCGGTACACGCATCGTTGCTCCGCGATACTGACCGCCGTCCGTTTAATGCTCCTTACGATGATACTCGCGACAACCTCTTGGATTTGCATCTAGTGAAGTAGGAACTTTCATCCTCATTGTTTAACGAGTAGAAGAGGTGCTCATGTTGACAATATATTAGAATAGAATTTTTAACTACATAATTTATAATTATAGTATTTCGTGAGACATAAACTGATTATAAGATAATTTATAATAATTATATGCATTTAATATTTTTTGTATGTGAGAAGAAATTTTGATACTTAAATTTCTTTCTCGAGACAAGACATAATATTTAAGTATTAACTACGTTTAATTAAGTATTATGTTTTATCGGTACGGATTTTTCGAAGAAGGAATGAATAGTTGAGGAAAGCTTCAATTTATATTTGCGTAGCAATTATATAAAAGGCAGAAATGATTCATCACCGTATTATGTGAGAATGATGTCTGAAAAATGCGAAGGTATAGACCTGAGCAAATATCGTTAAGTATTCATTTATGGTTCAGAGAATATTTAATTGAAACGGCGCTAAAAGTCATTTCGATGAAAGTTTGAATAAGACGCAATATTCGATATTTAAAGAGCAAAATACTTAGGGCGGTATTCATAATCAGATCTTATATTCAAGACCGTCTTAAGTCTTGAGGTATCACGAATCGATTAGAGGGTCACATTAGCATCTTAAGATAAGATATTATTTAAGACAGTTTTGAATATAAGAATCAACTATGAATACCGACCTTAAATAAGAAGTATTCAAGTATTAATTACATTCAAGTAAATATTTTTTATCGATATGAATTTTACGAGGAAGAAATGAATAGTGAAGAAAAGCTTCGACTTATTTTTGAATAGTAATTAAATCTTAAATGTTTATATATTTTAAGATAAAGTCTCATACGCAAGCCTTCCATTTATTCGTTCGTACTTGACCGCATTATTTTTTTATTACATGGTAAGGTAATTTACGTGTCAATGTAAATAGTGGAGAGTTAAAGAAGGCCGAATTTTTCGTTAAAAACGTACATGCTCCTTTTTTCCCCCTCACGAGAATCCAAGGACTATCGATGTCCAAACAATTTAAGCGCAAACGGATTAACGGTGGGTCTGAGGAACGAAGGCGGCGATACGTACGTGACAGGATGTGAGCGACACTTCCTTTTAAACCCTATAATACATCGTCGATCTGTTACAGTTCCATACACCTGCTTTGCCTCCTGCTTAATATGCGCGCCATAATTAGAACATACGAGATCACCGTCGTGTTAAATAATAAACCGGTCGCGTTAACGTCGCGGTGACTTCAACATGCGAGTGCGAAACAAAGCACCGGCATTCCGATCTGTTCGCACTATATTCATAAATCGTAACATTCATAACGCTAAAACAATAAGCCTCTATCTAAAAACTATCTACGGAAGTGCACCTCAATTTTTTGAAATCTTTAAATTTGTGGAAATTTAAAATCACAAATTTAATTGTTAAGTAAATTAATAATAATGCTAATTAAATAAAATTAAAAATAATAATAATAATAAAAGAAAAGAAAATTGTTTTATTCTGTCTGAGCTGGACTTTAATTCTTCATAAGATTTTAATATAAATTTATATACATACCCAATTTTGTAAACTGTTCACTGAAATAATTTTTTTTGGTCTTAAAATAATTCTATTATATAGATAAATTATTAAGTTCTTTGTAATATATAAAGAAATACATATACAGATAAGTTTGCAATATTAATTTACAAACTTTGTAAGTACATTAAATGATACAAAATGATATAATTTATCCTCTTCCTTTTTCTTTTCTTTTCGCTTCTTCGTTATTAGAATTGGTAATATATTATAAAATTTGGAATCGCATTACGACTTCAGTTTACCTAAATGGAGTAAGTTTACCGATTTATTATACTATTATGATGGAAAACGTTGATTTTGATCATTGAGTGTACATAGAAACGTCGGTCAAATTTATATCTTTGACAGTAATCGCTTTAATTATCGTTGACCGAGAAACATAAATTTGCTTTACGGTAAAAAGCGTTCGTCGCTCTTTTCAGTTGCCCCTCGCCGACGTCATCGTCACTTTAATCTTTCATAAAAATCTACAAACTGCAACCAACGTTACAGCGTATAATATGACAAATCTGATAACGGCTCGGTTTGTTACGGTTGACTTTAATGACTTTTAATCCGGGCAGTCGATGCGCGAGCGGTGTAACGCATCGCATGATGAGGCAAACTGAATTTATGCGATTCTAGTAGTGCCAATTGTCGACCGGACGAAGCACCGGAAACATATCTTTGCTCTTATCGAGTGACACAATACTAATTTTATCGTTGTTCTTTTCCACCGGTCATTATCTGCAATCAGAATCAGCAGTCACTTATGCAAATCGATGAATATCCTTTATACGGCGTTTTGCGTAAATCCACCGTTTCGCTTTTAATTACGATTTCGGGAAAGAAATCTACTCTCGTAGGTGTCGTGAAAATTGCGTCGTAAGTTCTTAGTTGGCGGCTAGAAACCGCGTCTATTGCAGCTTTACGTACGTTAGTAGAATGAAAAAAATTATACAGACTGTGATTGCAGCTGGTTACCTCGTTTATTTGTGTGTCGAGATGATGACGGACGCGCTTAAACCCTCTAATCATCCCCGTGATTTGTGGTCGATGTGATAAAAAAGGGGGTACGAGCGGACGAGAGGGCGTCTTATTAAAATTCGCGAACGAGTACGCCGCAAAATCGCCTGATTGATATTTAATTGCACCGTCGAAATTATCCTCTTTCTCCGTGCATGTTTTCGACGACGTTTCCTTGACGGTTTTTGTGCTCGGCGTTGTGTATTATCGCGTTAATGTGCCTTTTTTCTGTACTAGAGTGATCATTTTTTTCGCACTTTCACCATTCTAATATTCCCTGACAATTTCGTGCCTCGAAATTGTCGTGGAACATTAGAAATCAACTGAATCAACATGCAGGTTTTGGTGCAATTATTAAAGGTGCACGGAACGTGTGTTATAAACATCATAAGAAAATAAAATTATATAAATAATATGTATAAAAATTATACAATTTATAATGAAAAAATATAAAATTGTGGGTGTTTTACAAAAATTGATATTTTTATTTCCAATTGTATAAATATATCTTTATAATATAAGAAAAATTATAGTAATAATAGCTTTTATTATTTCTTATTATTTTATAATTTTTTATGTAAATGTGTACAAGTTTTTGTAATATTATATAACATAAAATACCACATATATATTAGAGAAATGGCACATAATTTGTTGGAAATTATTATGTAAATATGTCTATAAAATTTATTTCAATTTACTGTTGCGTATAGTTTAATTATTATAAAAAAGAGTAATTTTATTTGTAAGCGCTATAATTTTAATTACATATGTAAATATATATCTTCTGCAATAATGGATTGTAAAATTATATCATAGGTAATTTTTTTACAATGTGTAAATAAATAGATGCGCGTACACACATCAAGTACAAAAATTACCAAAATAAAATTATATTTATATCTATTCAATAAAAAGTAACATATTCATAGACATTAATTACTATTATAGAACTAATTAAATTAACAGAAAACCGGTTTAATCATATATTATAATTCAAGGAGTAACAAAAAGACGTAGAAGATACTCGTCTATGTATAATTTTATATTGAAGAAATAAAGGATTCTCGCAAATTAAATACGAGTGTAGAGATGTATTAAGCATTTAACAAATGAGTGATTTTTATTACACTGATGACTTTCCGATTTCCAAGCTCGTATCTTCATAATCAATTTTACTCTGTTACAGTGGTGATGCACAAGGATAAGGAGGAGAATTCGCACCACGACTCGCATTATAGAGCGAGAGAGTTGGCAGCGCTCGCTGCTTACGACCATCATCACCTCGACGGCGAAATGTTCCTACAGGTGAGTACTCGTCCAGTACACTCATTACGTAGAACAGCCTGTATTTACGATCTCATTTGGACGCATCAAATTTTAAAAATATATATCAGCACGGCGCGCGCGCTCGTATTTATCGCGGTGAGAGACACCTGCTTCCTCTTCGGCTCTCGATCGATCGTTTCAATTCGCTAACCGTAGCGAAGAAATCTATCACCGCGAACGAGATCTTGTTTGTGATGCGTGTCTGAGAAATAAGTGACAGCGACGAATCGTGTAAAATATTCATCGACCGATTTTGCGATGCGATGTGTCCTTGGTAACGGAAGTGCGCATCTCAAGTTATGGTCTGATGACTTTGTCAGCAGTACAAACGTTTCATGCGTACATTTTAATTTTTTACGATTTGCGATCGCGAGCAGGGGATGTCAGTCATATATAAAAGAAACGTTGTGACGCGTGATGCAATATAGAAATAATGTTCGATATTTACAATGCAATCCTACTGTGCAAAAATTTTTCGAATTATTAATTTAATAGATATTGATGTACATTAACATCGATCAAAAGGATTCAGTAGGTACATACGTGTGTACTCAGTATACTTTAGGAAAAGAACAGTTTTATTGAAAATAAAATTCTAAAAATTTAGCTCTGAAAATAATTTTGTTGATTTATGAAAATAATTATACAGGATGCTCAAATCAGTTCCTAAAACATCAAAACTTTTTAGAGTATTGCTTATCATGCTTGTGTATGTAAGTTTTCTATATAATTATCTTGACAGTTCAACAAAATTATTTTCAGATCTGTATCTACTTAAATTTTTAGATACTTCAGCAAAATTTGTCCTTTTACTTTAATAATAAATTATGCTTATTACTGTTCAATTTTTCTCTTTACATATTTTTATTGAAATCTCTGGTGATACATTTTGATTTTGCTTTCTAATTTATATTAAATTTTAATTTAATTATAACGTTTTCACACCAACGATGCTTATCTCTTAAACACTTGTGTACAAGGGGCCATTATGTCAATCCGCGTAAATGGAGAAAAAAGATTGCCGTTCGAGTTATTGATTCTAATCATTAAGGACCAATCAACCGCGATATGATAAGTCAGCGACTACAAACGATCGACTCCATTTCGAGCAGCGATATTATCTGAGCGATACATTCACCTGCCATAAGCACCGTCTACGATTCACGATTGATCGACGGTTGGTAGTGTGAGTGTATGCGAACAGATGGAGAGATGAATGAGCAGGCAAGAAAAGAGAAACGGGCGTGCTACCGAATGACGACCCGTGATTGGAACTGTCCGTCAGGAAAACGATACGATTCGACGTCACGTATGAAGGGAGTTGCAGACGTGGGAAGGGCTGAAAGTATATTATTTCGATGAAATAAAGCGTATAGTGAACCAAATGATACAACGAAAAATAAGTACATTTTCTAATCAATTTTGAATACGTCAGTCTATTATATCAAATGGGACAATCCGCGTAGATTCGTTAAAATAAACAAAAGTTTTTGCTTTTTTTCCAAAAATAACCAATTATTATTAGTAATCCATTGATAACTAATTTTTATTGTTATCTGTTTAATAATAAAAAAATTAAATTAGTTCCATTAATATACAAGTTTGAAATAAATGACATATTTTAATTATATATTGTTTTTAATTAATTATATCATCTTTTACACATTTCTTTTAATTTAACTTTTACAGAGTTATTTTTAAATTAAATTTCTGTATACATTATTAATATGTTTCTTAAAATATAATTTTAATTAAGATATAGCATAACATTATAATTATCTTGCCAAACATACATAACGTGAATATTTTTATATGTTATATATGTATAAACTCTCATGGAAAATTCTCAATGTAAGTTTGAATTTGTTCTTTTACAAAATATGCCACAGTTACTTATACGCACTTTTTTAATTGATAAAGTGAATTGATTCATGTAATATAGAAGTCTTAAGTCGCGTCGTAGCAGAGCGCGCGCCGAAATTAAATCATTGTTAGTGAGAGGAAGAGACAGGGAGAAGCAAGAACGGGAGGAGGCCAAGGAAGAGAGAAAGAAAGAGAGAAAGAGCAGGAAGATATCCGGCTGATGAACCGGCTATGAAACCGAGGCGTACGAGGTGTCTATTCCTCCAAAGTATGGAAGGGTATATACACGGATTAATGGCCGTGTATCATGCAAGGCTATTACGTTCCCTTTCTTGCGTTTTAGGTGCGCACACGAGCGAAAGGGAGCTAGTCTGCGGATACGAGAGAGAAAATGGAAGGGGGACAAACAGCGTGAGAAAAAGGAAGAGAGAGAGAGATAGAGAGGAAGAAGAGAAAGAGGCAAATCTAGAGATGACTAGAATAGAACGAGGGAGACGAACATTATACGTACAAATTGTGTGTACGCGTGCGATTTCATACGCGAGCCAACGTACATTGCCACACGATCGAATGGCCTTACTAACGGCAGGTTATTAATCGTCAGCTCGTTAATTGCATTACGTATGTCCTTGTACATCCGAAGCTAATCCCTGGACGGACTTCCGACGACACGTGCATTCGAATCGCGAAACGATAAGCGACGTTGAACTATATCGACAAGTATCATCTTTACGAACTAATCAACAACATTTATCGCAGCTTTATAATATATATTTCTTTTCTCACAATGTGTCATTTCATTACTGCACACTATGTTTTCTCAAAATAATATGTAAAATTATCTTTCTTTCATACACACAGAGGATTTTACGTATTAATACTACTATATTACAAGTATCTGTTATTATTGGCGGTTACTATTTTTTAGATTAAAATAGATAAATTCTCTTTTTTAGATTATTTATTAATATAAATAATATAAATATAATATATTTTTTAAGATATTGTATATTTCTTGGGTACGAGATAGAATCCTGAAATTTGTTGATTTTAAATTTTCAATATATTTATATAGTATCGATGAATTGTTTTGTTTTTTATCGCTATCTTTGTACTTTTATCGTACTTTATTTGCTTTCCTTTTAGTTCAAACAAAAACGTTGATATCTCTATTGTTAAGCAATTAAATTAAAAAAAATAAATTTTAAAAAAATATTACTTAATAAAGACGAATATTTACGAATTTACAAAATAATTATAAATTGATCAAGTTACAATTTTTATGCTAGTCTTTCTAACATATAACTAAGATAAATAACTCTTCGCTACACGTCACTGTCTAGCATGTTTATGTAAATAATGTCGTACTATTTTACGTAAGACTGCAGAAGTAAATACTTTTTCAAGAATTATAGACATTCCAAAGACTGCAATTCAACACACAACTCTGACTGTATCACGAGGTATAAATCAACAGCGCGCGAGCGCGTGTCTTCCAGACACGGTATCGATTTATGAAAATGGCGATGCAATCAGGTCGCGCTTGATTTTCTTGACCGGGCTCGGGCTTGGCTCAAGTCCGGCTCGTGTTCCTTGAACCTGGATACTAGTTTCCGGGTAATCCACCTCACGCCATCCTCGGCTCGTATATCAATAACATATTTATACAATTCGCGCGGTTCCGTGAACCCGACTTTCCAGGACCTCCCTTCTGCCTCCCACGCCCTTCGTTCAACCACCCTCTCGACTCCCTCTCCCGTCGAACCGCACCGTCTCTCCTTTCCACGCGCCATATACCGTTTCGCCGATCCTCATAAACTTTACGAACCCCGACGGTAAATCCGGTTTATGACAAGCCGGCCGCCACCACGAGGTATCCTCGAAATTACGGCTAAGCGCGATTGGATTTTTATACCCCTTCTCAATTATATATATACCGTGAATCGCGACTGGACGGTGTACGCGAGGTGAGAGAGCGATTGAGGGAACGACTCGTTTAGACGCGGCACGACGTCTCCCTGTCTTGTAGTCTTGTCTTGTGGAGAAGAATTTGCGTCTATCGAATTACACGGCATCAAATCAGCGCTCGCCGGACCGCCGAGCGCCGCCGTGTATAGATCACATTGCATTCACGCTGCGTTTCTACTTCTCGAACTTCCCTTCGCAGGCGCCAAAGAGATCTCTTTCGTGCAGAGAGAACGGTTGCTAACAGAAATTTACGAAAATTATTTCCTCTCGTATAATTTTACTCCAGCAACTTTTGAAATAAAATTTCTGAAAGAAGGAAAAGACATAAAGTCTCTTAAAACATCTTTTTACGTACCTAATTATTTATATAGTATAAATTTTTATATATTTATACATATATATTATACACATTTATATTTATTTTATTTTAATAATTATTTATATCCCTTCCCCTGTTTTTTTATACGGAAGAATGTAATATCTAATATCTTTTTTATACACTAGGAGTACATTTTTCTTTTTTTAAAAAGGTTTTTTTAGGGACCAAAGTGTAATTGTTCTAGTTTAAATTACTAATTAATACAAAATTATTTAGCATTAGATTTATTTTAGTTAACATTAAATTACATAAATTTAAAAGATGTCTTAAAATAATAGGCGGATTTCTAATCAAATATAGTCGTATTCTTCACGGTCGACTCAGTGAAAAATGTTCGCGACCAGGAAAGTTAATTTGCTCACTTTAATGTATTTCCGCCACGAACATTACGATGGATATACTTATTAAATATTTTCACGCTTAGAAGCTTGATTTCATGCTGCTAGTCTGATATACAGTGTCCACTAGCAGGGACATCTAATTTGTTAATTTGAATCGCTATCATAACACGTAATTCACATTAAAAGTGTCAAGAAGCCAAACGATTAAAAGATAATGAGATCCTTTCCAAGAAAAAGTCAACATCTGACGCTTGCGCAGAATGCCATATCATAATTAAAAATCACTCTGTCAAATTAACAATCAATTTAATTTATAAGATTATTATTTCAATTTATCATTGCGTTGCAAATACAATAGTAATCTAAATTACATTACTGAAAAATGTATTTGCAATTTACGTACAGAAATTTTCATCACCAATATCATA